AGAGCTGCTGAGTTACGCGCAAGGTTATAGAGCCTGAGGGATGCCTTCAAAGACGCACAGTGGGCAAAAATGCTTTTTTTTTTTAATTAATAAAATTGCGCCCGCTATGGTAAGCCAATTGAGATGAATTTTTTCGGACGTCGAAGGTTAGACATCCCAGAATATCAGAAAACTGGTCCGAACACATAAAACAATTTCTTAGGGGGTGCAAACTACCCCTTAAGGCACCCTTCTAGACAGGTAATCGAATATATAATTGTCTAGCAAGCTAACAGATCATTTGTTCTTCTAAAAATTAGTGTACTTATGTTTTTCAGGTCGCTGAATAAAAATCTAACATCAGAAATTTAAATTTAAAAATGGCCGTGTCAACATGGTGGCCAAAAAAATGAAAAGTGCTAAAAAATTTATAAAAATATTTTTTCAGTGGTTTCTTCGGGTGCTTAATACGAATCAAGCATTAGAATTTCAAAATTCGAAATGGTAGATTTAAGATGGCGGCCAAAAAAAAAAATTTATCAGTTAAATAAATAGTTAACTTGATAACAACATAACTTATACCCAAGTTTTTAAGCCTAGTAATTCAGGGGAAAGCAAGTTTGAAATATATTAATTAAATTAATGATAAAACAAAAAAACAACATAACATAAGACCCAATTATTTTAACCCAGGAACCTGGGGGAAAAAAAGTAAAAAAAATTATAATAAAATTAATATTTAACTAAATTACCAAATAACTAAAATCTCAAGCATTTTAGCCCTGTAACGTGGGGAAAACAAGTTAAAAATATTACCTTAACAAATAGTAATATAAATAACAACATAACCTAAAACCCTAGTAATCCAGGAGAAAGCAATTAAAAAAAGCAATTGAGTAATTGATTAACTAAGTAACAACATAACCTCAAATCCAACCATTTAAACCTAGTAACCACGGGAAAAGCAAATGAAAAAATACACGTTTATTAATTAATCAATTAAATAACTACACACACCAAAAACCTAATTTTCTAGACTCGGTTAATCGGAGGCGGCTATTTCCTAATATCAGAGGTAGATTGTTTACTAAATATATAACTATACTTTTTTTGTGCAAAGAATCCTAAGGTTTAGCAGATGTGGTTGTTACAAAAATTATTAACCGAATAAGTATATTAACATAAAATTAGTTTGATGTTTTTTGAGTTATTGGGGTTTAAAGCTTGATTTTTGAGGTTATGTGGATATTTGTTTGATTATTTATTGCATTTTTATATTTTTAAATCGCTTTACCCCAAGTGACTGAGTGAAAAAGCTTAGAATTTAGGTTGTGTAGTCATTAAGTTAAGAACTGATTTTATTATAATTTTTTTGAGTCACTCTTCCCCGAGTTACTGGGTTTAAAGGCTTGGGTTTCAGGTTATGTTATTTGTTTTATTGATTATACTAACTTAATTTTAACTTGCCTTGCCCCAGGTAACTGGATTTAAAAGCTTAAGATTTAGGTTATGTGGTTATTTAGTTGAGAATTTATTGTATTATAATTTTTTTTGACTTACTCTTTCCCTAGTTACTGGGGTTAAAGGCTTCGGTTTTAGGTTATGTTGTAATTCATTTTATTGATTTTACTAATATATTTTTAACTCACCTAGTCCCAAGTTACTGGGTTTGAAAGCTTGGGATTAAGATTATGTGGTTATTTCATTAAGAATTTTTTTTTAATAATTTTTTTGACCAGCTGTTCCCTGGGTTACTGGGTTTAAAATCTTGGGTTTTAGGGTATGCTGTTGTTTATTTTATTAATTTTACTAATGTATTTTTAACTTACTTTACCCCAGGTTACTAGGCCTAAAGGCTTGGGAGTTAGATTTTAGATTTATTTATTAAGATAACGAGTTTGACGTTAGTGCTTACAAAGACTGCTGTCATCGTAAAATAGATCATTACAACGCATCGTGTGTTTTGGTACTCAAAATACATGCTTTTTTTAAGATTACTAAATAAGAATGTCTGGTTAACGACAAACAATCCTAACAAATGTATAAGAAGTAATTTCTCTAAAAATCTCATATTATCTGCTATACTATATTCAGCTATTCAAACTTCTCTCTGTATACGAAGAATTCGTAACAAGAAGCATAAAATGCCTCTGAGAAGTAGTTTTGCAGCCTTGTTAGCGCTCTTTTTGGCATTCATCATGTATTTGCTATTGAAAATTTAAATATGATGATCAGAGATTCGTAACAAGTGATAAAAGATGACACCTTTCTTCGCAGTTTCATGTACTTTTACATACTTCCCTTCTATTTGCAGCATTTGTCATTTTTTTAATTTTCTTTATTCCTCTCTATATTTTAGAGAATTTTTTATTATTTCAGCCTTCATCTTGAATCTGCCATTTTAAGTTTTGAAATTTTAATGCTTGATTCGTAACGAGCATCCCAGAACACCCCTGAAAAAATACTTTTACAAATTTTGGAGCATTTTTCATTTTTTCTGCTGCCATATTGAATCCACCATTAGGAACTTTGAATTTTTTATATAAAATTCTTATTCAGCTATATACCTAAAGAACATAATTTTACTGATTTTTAGAGAAATAGAGTAATCTGTTGGCTTGCAAGTCAATGAAAATATTCCATTACCAGTCAAAAAGGGTGCCTGTAGGGGTAGTTTGCACCCCCTAAAAAAGTTTTTTATGCGTTTGAACCAGTTTTCTGCTATTCTACAATGTCTTACCTTCAGCTTTCGGAAAAAATCATCTCGATCGGCTTACCAGAGCTGGCGCAATTTTATTAATCCAAAAACGAGTTTTTGCCCACAGTCGATGTAGCACATGAAAGGGAGAGTTCACCAAGCTACGAGCGATACTGGACACATCGTTGCAATGCGGCTACAGTGCATCGGGGCAAAGACTGGCCGAGCAGCCAGTAGTACTAGTGAATGGTGTGGGTATAACGCGCATTAGAAAAAAGAGCCGAGCTGCCAGCAATATCTGAGACATTTCACTATGCAAGTCTGACAGACATACATATCTCTGTTACGAGTTTCCCTACCGTTAATTAACTCCCAATTGAGAAATGAACCATGGTCTTATGCAAGCATACATAGTTCTTTTATGGACCTGAACTGGCTACATTAACTATATTGGTTTCATTAAGGTGAGAAAGTTCCGTTCTCAACCCATCGAAATTTAAAAATCTCAGGAGATGGTTCAACACTAATCACACGAGCTTGCATTTTACAGTGACTCCCTTACAAAGTGCACAGGCAAACTAAGGCGTAATACTCCTTTTACTTTAAGACCAAGTCCTCCAGCAAATTGCAGCAAGACGAGTACTGCTGTGTTTGATGAGCAAGCGTTCAACTCTTGTTTTCAGGGTCAACCAAGAATGGAAAGTCATTTTTTCGACTCAACAAGATCTTGGCAAGTCACTAGACTACCTCAACATAATGATCGTCAGCATTGAGCAGTGAACTGTTGGTGTCATAGAAGCCAGAATAAGACTTCTTGAGAATTACTGGGTGAGCTTTTAAGCCAATTTCTTAGAATTGTTACGTGATGCACCTGAGGGAGAAGACAGCTAAAAGTGTGATGAGTTGCACGCACTTGGAGAACAACAGTACCTCGATGCTAACACAATTTTTTTAACGCTCAGGACGATCTCAAACTCCCCCCTTTAGACTATGACGGGTCTCAGATATCAGCTGACACAGGAGGGCTAACTTCGCCTCTCTAACATCAATATTTCTGTTTTTTCAGGCTGCCGAGAGGATTGGGAGCCATTTCGTGAACTTATTCAAGCCTCAATAACCGGTAATCAGCAGCTAATCCTTGTCGAGAGGTTATATTATCTCAAGGCACACATACAAGGTAATGCTAAAGTAGCCCTTGATACCATCCTGAGAGCTGGCCCTTTTTCAAAAGAGACTTTTTGAACTGAGATCGAATGTCAACCAACTGGCTCTCCACTCTCTGCCAACCAATCACTAACACTGTTGGCTCCGTTCTTCTTAGCTGATGGAGTCCTCCATGTAGAACGTCGTCTTCACAGATCATGTTTCAGTTACGACGAGCAACACCCACAAATTCTTAACTGCACGTCGGATTTAGCCCACCACATAGTCTCATGGGTACACCAGTGTCCACTCTATAGAAAAGTTCGGGTGACAAACATCTACGTCACTGAATGGTCCTGAATCATTGGCGGCTCTTGTCTTGTCATGACTCATCAATGACAATGCCCTATCAGCGTGAAATGTCATGCCTGAGGAATCACTTAACTTACGGCCCCATTATCAACTAACCGAACCATCCTGGCGCGAGCTTTCTTTCACGTTGGTGTTGACTACGCTGAACCTTTCAACGTGCTGGCAGCCAAAGGACGTGGTATTAAAACGAGAAAAGGATACATCGCTGTCTTTGTATGCATAGGTACAAAAGCACTTCATCTGGAGTCTGATGGCCACCTAACAACGGACTCATTCCTGGGAGCACTTACTAGATTCTGCAGCCGCCATGGTCAACTGGTTGAGATATGGAGCAACAATGGTATTCTTTTTTGTGGTGCAGACCATGAACTGCACGAAAATATCAAATAGATAGAGCTACGCTAGGACCTTATGACTAGCCGTCTTGCTGAACAAGGAATCACATGGAATTCCCCCCCCCCTGCTCCACATTTTGAAGAGGCTGTAGTAAAATCGATCAAAAGTCATCTCTGACGTACCATTGACTCTATGAACTTGACGTTTAAAGAACTTTCCACGGTCCTGGCCATCATAGAGATGATACTTAATAATCAGCCACTTACTCCTTCAACTGGCACCACTGATGATTTTAAAGTCTTTACCAATGGTCACTTTCATGGCGAAGGCCCTCTCCATTCTATCATCGTCTCGAGACTTCAACTGACTGAATAGACCAACTGATGCATTGGCAGTTCATCCGCGGTATACGTGACCAGTTCTGGTCTCGTTGGAGTCAGGAGTATTGGAATACGTTTCAACAGTGGCCAAAATGGCCCACTCAAAAGCACAACTTTTGGGTCAACAACATCGTCATCGTTTTGGACCTGACCTTTCCTTATTACTTCCGTGCATTTTTTATTTGCATCACAAGTGAGTGTAACCACGTTGTCATGTATTATATAAAAACCTACCAATCCTCTATACTAAAAAGATAACCCTCACTCTAACCTTAACCTCTACCTCCAATTAAGATGAGCGTTTTAATTTTCCATATAAGGTTATCTATTGCGCTACGTATTTTGTGTTCCAACATTTGGTCATGTAGCTACTTTGTTCATTAAATTAATAATAAACTCGAATGATTATAAAACTTGAACTTCTGAGCAAAGTTCCAAAAGACGCTCATAAGGTTCATTAGGACTAAATCCGTTTTAAATCACTTTTATTGTATGTTGTGTTGAACATAATGTAACAGCACCATCTTTTTAAAAAATTTAACATTAATTTTTAATTAAAGGCATCAAATTTGGAGCACTTTATGTCTGATATCTTCTTTTGAACAGTATGATTTATTATTATAGATATTACATACCCAAATTATATATATCCGCGCAACGTAGTAGGTATTCTGACAACCACTGTTCATGCTCTTTAGAAAAGACTTTGTTGCGAACAATACAACCTATACTAACGCTACCTCCGTTATTGCCGTTGGCATTGGCTGCATTACGTTTACGAGCGTATCACAATAATGTCATGTGATTTACTTGGTGCATTTCTGCAGCTTTTTGTACGAAAATCCCATGCTTTGTGTCATTTTATGCCTTTTAACATTAGACGTACCTCTTTCCGTTCACCTGGAATATTCACGAGGCATATGAAAAGAAAAAAACTAATTTCACTTGTGTCACAACCGTACCCAGGTGGTATGTCACAACCATACCGATGGTACTCATTTGAAAAAAAAAGTTACCATGTAAACACAACATAGCTTACATAAAAAGTAATTACTGCCTTTTATGTACCAATGTGTATCTTACAACGAGGAAAAATACTCATTGCTCGATCTGTACATATGCAGCGACAATTGCAAAAAATATTTTAAAGAAAATACGTACATTTCACTCCCCAAAAGTAATGTAGACCTCTGCTGTCGTTGATATCATACAACAGCTGATGCTATACTGTGAAGCACAAGTGGCCCAGCTCTCCCCTCCTTCACCTTCTTGTATTTGGCGGATCTCTCTAACAGTTTCGCCAATATGATCACTGTCACAACCATCCATTGGCACAACCGTACCCAGTCTCCCCTACCTCGTTTATTACTACGAAGGAGTCGTACCTAATTTTCAACTTTATGAAAAAGATTAGGTTCACCTGTCAAAATGAAAGATAAAGAGACTCGACTTACTGCTACTGACAAAAAATTCCTAGGAGAATACCAAAAGAGCATCTAAGATGAATGTAAAAGAAAGCCATATGTCTGGCAAATTTTGTGGAAGTGAAAAAGTTACTTGAGAAATCCCAGAAGTAAGACTTGTATTTATACATCAGTTTAACGTTATTCTCACTGATATTCTTACTTATACACTCATTTACTTTTTTTTTGCTACTGCTTCCTCATAGATACCAAAAAAGTTATAGTATTCAGTGGAATCATAAATTTCTTTGTTATTTAGAGCCCTTGATTTTTTTCTATTAATTAATGTATCGTAGAGGTTGTATAAGTTTTCATAGATGTTTTGTGCATGCATCACTATTACATTGCAACACACAGTTTCGTTAAAACTTAAACATAAGTTAATTTATTTTATTTCGTGCTTACCGTAACTGCAGACTTTGTATTTACCACTAGTCTTGCAACAGCAAGAAGTTTTTTTCAAAGGATAAAATGGAATAAGGGCCTCATTTGCGTAGTATCGTAGCAGCATCTTATTCATGACTTTGACGATTTACTAAGTAGCATTACTTTCACTTTTATTGTATCACAAAATGCTTTCAAAGTGCGTAACGAAGTTGCTATCTGAATCATTGCCCTTTTATCAATATATTAGTCAGATCTTCTATAATTCCCTCTTGTAGTATTATCACTAGTCTTAGCATTAGGCTATTATTTTAAGACGTCTCTCTCGGCCTTCAAGTGTTGTTCTGTTATCTTTTACCTAAAATTATTGAGTAACAAATCAAAAGTGGGGCCCTGTATTAAGGTAAAACACTTGGATGTAAAACGTGGTAATGAAAAAAAAAGGATGCGTAGAGTAGCTTTGCATAATCTTTGCACCTAACTTATCGGGCTAAAATGATCTGCATATCACTTATTATGTTCAAAGATTTTTTTCTATGAAATAAGTATACATGACACCTCTTTTACACGTATTCCTGTTTAATGTATATTAAATTATAGTTTTTCCTTAGCCACTTTTTTTTACGTAAAATATGCATAAATTAGGTCTATTACTATATGTTATCTTGTTTTTTATAATTTTTATTTCGTAACTAACTTTAGTAAACTATAAAGGATGATTTAGTTGCGTACGTGATTTATTTGTTTACTTGTTGTGTACCTGTTCATAAGACTGCTGACACTATTTTCTTGAAAGTAGTTTTTTTAGAAGAATTCATACACATGTACGTTTTTTTGTATAATGTAAGTATTTCAATTTGTCCAAATATACTTTAGTCTCCTTGTATAAGCTCTAATTTTTAAAATCTCCAGTAGTTGTTTTCATTCTTTTATCATTGTTCAATCGGAATTTTACGATCAATCATGTTGTCACAGTTTTTTTATCAGCTAGGGGATAGTAGCTATAAGCTTGAATTTGCATATTTTTCTTCCATAATTATCTTTAGTCCCTTGCAGAGCCTGCTTCGGTATGTTTCTAGTGGCACTTTTATTTATTTTTTTTTTCATATACTTTTTTAATGTGATATTTTGCAAAATTTATCTTCGATGCGTGTTTCATCTGGCTCCATTAACTTCTTCTCTCCCTTAGATGCCTTTCTCTTACTATTTCACTGGTGCTCTGCTGGTGTATTCTTTAGTTACGTAAATTATTTATGGGCTTAAATTATCCTGTATGTTTTTGATATACTTTTACTATGTAGAATAAGTGTTTAAATTCCTTCATATATTCTGTGACTGTGACAACTCATTTACTATAAGTGCAAGTGTTCTCCTTATGTCTAGTCTTTACTAGACGTTTTTATTGCCCTCTATACTCAACAGCACAATCATTACACCTTAACTTATAGACTGTATTGATTTGGTCTAACAAATTAATTCTATCCTCATTCAGACGTGCCAAGCTACTAAGTGTATTGTTAATTTTTGGTGTAGGTAGTTGACCTATTTGTTTTAACTGTTCATTATTTTATTTAAAAAAATTGTGGTCAAAAAGTGGAAAAGTTACAAAGTGTATCAGATTGGCATTAATAGTACTGGACGCTATTTTATTTATGGTACTACGTAGAATACAGGTTTTACATTTGTATAATCATTTTTTTATAAGTAGATTGGGAAACTTTAGTGAATAGTTGTAATAATTAAGTAAATATTTGGCTCTTTCAATATTATTATGATAGAATTTTATATATAAAATTGAAACTACTCTTTCAATTGAATGAGAAATTATTTATTTAAAAGATAATGAGTGGTTTCATAAAAAAATTTCAATTCTCCCAGATTAAGTAGGTCTTAAGTTGATTGTTTGATTATTTTTAATTAACTTTAATTACAAACTTTGAAACGACAAACATTTTTCTTATCGCTAAATTGAATAAAATTTACTACGCGTAATTGACGTACAAAATTTAAAAATAAATAAATTAGGTAAATTTAATCAATCTTATAATTTAATAGCTATGAGTTTTGTCCAAACCCCCACTACTCCCGTTACCCCCCACATCGTTATAAGAGAGCCTGACAGAGAACCTAGTGATGTTCATGGCTTCCAACATGTATACATACGTACGTTTATATATATACATGTAAGTATCGTTTAAATAAATATATGTTAAACACATTTATTCATAATTTTATGCATTTCATTATATTTTTAATTTACAGACATTTTTTTCCTTAATTTTATTTTATTATTTTTATTATTAATAATATTTTAACTAAGCTTACTTTTTTTTTAACTCTCTTACAACTCCCACAATCCCCAAGCCCTACAGTATCCCCCCCCCCATATACTATCCACCGCCCCACCCCAAATTTTTCTTAACCTTCACCACCCTTCCTTACATTCTACTACACTATTTTTGTGAAATCTTACTGACAGTCTACTTAATTTCGTGGACCCCAACGCCTACTCGTACACATGCATGAATACATATTTTATCAACAAACTAGAATGAGACATAATCATTCAAAATAAACTAATACATACATGTATGTATAATACCATAACGCAATAATACAAACATGTATGCATACGAGTGAATATAATTGTATGATAATATAAAGTAAATATAATGCTGTAAAGTTAATATAATAATATTCTAATGGTATATATATATAACTATGTAAGTGTATGTAATTATCAGTTTCGTTATTCTGGCTTATATTTTTTTACCAAATAACCCTACCAGCCTTTACCGAACTTGTAAATTCCTAAATATTTAATTTTTAAAATGTGTTCTTATACATTTTTTCACATTGCTTAGGACGCAAAAAAACAAACTCAATACATGAAAAAAAAAAAATGAATTCTTTTTCATTTATATATTTGGTAGTAAAATAATAAATTTAATTCTAATAAATTTATTCTTATTCGTATAAATTTTAAAGTTTTCTTTGCACTAAGCCTTTTTTTGGTTATATTGGTAATAAATCATGTCAGAAATTTAATTAATAAAAGAATTAAAAAGCTGTGTGCGAAAAGAATGGTTTTTTTTTAATACAAAATTTTCGACACGTCAATCCTCAATAAGGTCTCCTCAAGATATATTAATGGCCCCTCCTGTGTAGGTGCCTCAAGAACTTCCTGCAGTTAAAGATTGGCATCTAAACTTCAACTTACATATTTGTTTATTAAATGTAATGGCCACACTAACCAGACATGTCTTCAAAGATTTTTTTCACACTAAATATACACATTTACATGTAAGAAATTGTTATTTTTTATTTGTCTTCATATGATCTGATA